ATGTGTAATAATGAGAATAAGAATTAAGTTGTTTTAAGTTGAGATATAGATTGAGCATATTATTGGATTGAGTTTAAGTTGAGAATGAATAGAATTTACATGTTAAGTTAACATGTGATGTTATCACCTTCATTACATGTTAGAATGTAAATTCTTATAGTAGTAATGAGTAATTCTTGTGTAGATGAGGAGTATTTATGAACAAGAATTGAGTTATTTGACATGTTATAATTTGAGATAAAGATTTTGAAGTTAGCATGCAAAGTGAATTTCATGATATTAAGTTAAGAATTGAATGTGTTATTATGATTAGATGGCATATATTATGTATTTCATGGTAAAGTTTCAAGAATAATTGATATGAAATTTCTCATACTATTAAGTGATGAGTAAAGTGATCAAGTTTTAGTTTAATATGTTGAGAATACAATTTTATATAAATTGTTTTAAGTTTTGCTTATTAATATCATGAATTAAGTGTTATGATTTGATGTTATGATGATATGAGAATTAAGTTATACTTTTCATTACCAAGTAAGTTTAAGACAAGTTTAATAGTTTATAAATCATGTATTTGATGTTGGTATAAGTTGAGTATGTTGAGTTATATTTTTCACTTATAAGTTATATGAGAATAAGTTAATGTCATAGATTTTAAAGATATGAGTTATATGAGTATTTGATAGAGTTTTAGTTGAATGTGTTAAGAAGAAAATTCTATGAATTGTTTCAAGTATAGTATATTGATATCATAATATGGTTTTGATAAGTCTTAAGTTACCATTTTTATTACTAAGTAAGTTTAAGATAAGGTTTGAATCATGAATTTATGAATGTGGATGTAATGCCCCGTTAATTTGTGAAATATTTAGGAATATTTGTTTATTTAATATTACTATTATTTGTCAAATTGTCTAAATTTTTTATTCTTATTATTATTTATATGTCTAATTGTTTAAATGCCTATTATTATTGAATAAATATTATTGTTATTTATATTAAATGCCTAAATGTGATTAAATGGTTAATAATTAATAAATATTATTATGTGTATTATGTATATATTAATACCCAATTTTATTTTAATTTTAACCGCGTTGAACCGAGCCTCAAGTAATTGTTGAGTCGAAATCGAGAGAAAACCCCGGCCCAATTTGTGTGTTTTTCATAGCCATTGTGGGACCTTTTGATATAGCCCAAATTGAGGTATATTATTCCCGGCCCTTTTGTGCTAAATATTTTGGCCCTTAATTGCTTAATTAAGTATGACCCATTTAGCTAATCTTGACCCAACAACCTTGTATGTGTTTTTAGACTTGACCAATTTGAATTAAAATCCCTTCTTTTACCTATCCGGTTAGCCCCAAATTGTACCTGGGAAATAGTCACCACCACTCTCCCCGATATCTCTCTCTCACGCGGATTTGCAGCAACGGGAGTTCTCCCTATTTTTCTCGAGCAGTTGCAACAGACCCCTCGATCTTTAATAACGATCGTAAGCTCATCCTCGCATCATCTCCTCTGGATTAAC